ACCTGGTCCTGTTATTGCTGGATCCTGCTGGTTTCTGGAGCTCAGCTGCTGTTGATTTTATAAGGGGGAAAATTGCCTGGAAGCCATGCTTGGTGAAGAGGAAAACCCATCTCAGCGTTGCGTTCCCAAACAGCCATCTATCATCTTGATCTTGTCTAACACAAGTCACTATTTCAGTCTAGCAGCATAAAACAGACATATTTTATGGGTGCAGTGCAAGTTTTTTCAGGGTCTGCCTCATGACATTTTTTAGGCCTGCAGCATTTATTCAGAGAGCATTACGTTTGCTTTGTGGAGTCACTTTTGAGATCCAAAGGTGCCCAAATGGACCCCATCCTTGAACAGATGGTTGGAAGCTCCCCTGAGTCTCTCTGTGTTTAGATCGGGGGTGGGGGTGGGCAGAGGGTAACTGCTTCCAGGTTCTCCAGATTTTTCGTAGATCTGAAGTTTCATGAAAATATGCATCTCAGGGCAAGAAATCGAGCCCATTCCCCGCTGCTTCCTGACCACCCCTTCTCAGGGCAGGCGTAGGCTCTGGGCATCCCAAGCCTATGATCGTCCAGGGTGACGCTGTTGGTTTGCACATGGTTGCTTCCTGTGGGTTTTTGGTCTCTTTCTGACTGGATCACAACTATCTTAAGTCAACAAAGCTTTCTCCTGTTTCTTTTGCTGAAGACATCTCTAAACCCACTCTAAGCATTTCTAAAGGACCTGCCATAGCTAGAGGTAACCTGCTGTCCTAGTTTGTCCCAATGTGATTATTAATGGAGTTCCTTTTCATTCTCCAAAGAATTCCTGGTTTGTACAATGTATTTCCCTAACTAGAGCAATTATCGCTGGATATTCCTAACCAAACTCATTAAATCACCCTCCCTCATTCCCAAAACTGCTATATGTTCTCTTGTGATTCCTGTCTTGAAGAATGGCCCTTGGTGCCCAGCTGTCTGAGTTAAGAGTCTCCTTCCTGACCCTCCGCTCCACGTCTGAAGCAGTGGTTGCCAGCTCCTCCCTTTTCAGCCTCCAGAATATCTCTCAAATGTATCCTTTCCTCTTCATTCCGTGGCTGCTATCATTTAGATGAGGCGGAGTTGAGGTGTCACAAATTCAGTCCTCTCCGTTTCAGGCGAGTAAGTGAACAAAGGGGGATGGGTATAAACATGTGGCCCTCTTGATCCAGTCTTCATTTTCAAACTTTTGGTAGAGGTTTGGGTTCAGTAAGTATTTCATTTACCTCTTGATTCTCTGTAAGTTTGAGGGGGAGAACGAGAACAGAGATAAAAGACACGAACACCCCGCTTGAGAGACCATGAGTACTAGGTGACAGTGGGGACAGGGGTGAACTTGTATTTCTCGTCTCAGGGGCCAGCAGCTGCTACTCAGCCCAGCCAGGTGACTGCTGCTCTGCAAGGGTGTGGCCCCAAGATTGCCAGGTGTTCTGATCTTTCAGAAGAAGCTGGGAATCAGGGTGATTTTGACGTGGGATCTCCCAGTTCATGAAGGACAATTTAAAAATACCACGTAGTTCAAATAAAACATCTGCAGCCACTTGTGGCCCAGAGGCTCCTGGTTTTCAGCCTCTGGTTTCCACCCTCGCCACCTCTTATCTATACAATCACAGATGCCGCCTGCCTCCCACCCTGCCTTTCACTGCCCTGGCCTTTTTTCCCCAAGTTACAGATCTGATCACTTATGAGCCCACTCTGAAGGGGCCTTTGCCACCTACAGAATAGAATTCACATTCCTTGATGTTGCATCGAAGACCCTTCTCAGTCTGACCCCACGACCCCTCCAGCGGTGCCTCCTACCCCGAAGGACACACACACCCATCACACACGCCTCCTTGCTGTCCCCTGAGCAATTCCAATATTTTCTTTTAATTAATAGCTCTTTTTAGAACAATTTTAGGTTTACAGAAAAACTGAGCAGGTATCCCATATATTCCTTTCTTCCCATCCCCCTTTGCCCAGTTTTCTCTTATTATTAATATCTTGCGCTGGAGTGGCACATTTGTTATAATTAATACACCGATATTGACACATTATTATTATTAACTAAAGATCATAGTGCCCATTTTTGTTGGGAACACCACTGTTTTAATACCCTTACATTTTTTTCTTATAATCTAGGTTTCTCTGTTTGTATACTGTTCTCCCGATTCTGGCAAGACTTCTTTCAAGGCCAGATACAAGCATCACTCTTTCTCTTTATTTCTGGAATGGAGGCTAGAAGGGGAGATGCAGACAAAAAAAGGAAGAGAACTAACTTTTTTTTTTCAGGTGAACAGTGTGTGCCGGGTACTATATATTCTGTTAAATCTCTCTATAATCCTGTAATATAGCTGTTATTATACCATGAGGAAACAGGTTAGGTAGATTGCCCAAAGCCCTACTACTAGTACCTGGGTTTACATCCACGTCCACCTGGCTCCACATTTTGTGCCTCTCCCGCTCTCTGCCATAGGACTGCATTCTAACCGGTCATCTAGCCTTTCTGCTTCCCCCGCAAGGTTAGTGCAGTGTTACTCAGCTCTGTGTCTCCTCTCCCAAGAATGGGTTGGCACATACAGCAGCTCGCCCACACCCTTGGGCATGTGTCCTAAAGGCAGAGGTAATACAAGTAAGAGAAGAGGCACCAAATATTGACATCAGCTCAGCAAAGGCTTGTTGACTTCCGGCTGTGCACCGGACTTGGTGGAGGATGAGGTCCAGAAGCATGAGAGGAAAGCAACGGTGTTGCTTCTGTGCAGGTTATGTCTCCCGGCCAGGCAGAGGCAGGGAAGCCGCTGATCTGTGTATCCATGCACGTAAGCTGCAGGGAACCAGGGCTCTGTCCTCTGCTGTAACTCCTAAGACAGCCCCTGGTAATAATAGTTGTTTAATAAATCTTTGTGAACCAAACGTTTGAGTCCTATTGTAAATTTGGGACCCTGAAAATGCCACAGAGCTTCTCACAGTTTGCATATGCATTCAGTGAGTAGTCATCATCCTCAGCTCTGGCAGCTTTGGGTTCCCCGTGTTTGGTTCAGGGCAGCCCTGTATTATAAGTCATTTCCAAATTATCCCAGACCTGGGCTTGACCACACTCTTAGTTTTCCATACAATTGTTGTGTGGTTTGTACCCAAGGTGACAGAATTGATGGACCTGTAGGCTGATTTTCATAAACCAGAGCTACCAAGCGTTTCAAAACAGGGTTGTTTTTGCCAAGTAAGGTGAGCAAATATAGGACTAAGTTTAAACATCCACCAGGAGTTATTTTTGAAGTGATTGCTTCTAAATGAGAGGCATTTGAAAATCTCACCGCCTTCTTTACAAGTAAATTCCACAGTCATGTATTTTGCTGGTGTCCGCTGATTAATTACGGCCCTGTGACACCATGAAAAGCCCTGGTGGTTGGTTTTGTGCAGCTGCAGAGAAAAGTAAAGCGGGGCCCAGTGGCGTTGCCAGCTCTTTCAGGCTGGTGGGGATTCAGGCGGAGGGAGGTATTTTTTTTCACTCTGGCAGTCACCACATAAGAACAGAAGCCCCAGCCAGACCCATTTCTCCAGACTTCACGACGGGCGGTTTGGGTCCCTGTGGGGGTGTGGTTGAAGTAGCGACATTTGATCTGTTGCTTCTGAAATAACAGATCCATTATTAGAGAAAGCATTTTCAGTTTCCACATTGGGACATGTGTGCATTCTCCTGTACAGTTACTTCTGTTTAGAAAAAATATATAGTGGTTACATACAATAAATGAATCACAAAGTACTTTGTTTCTATAAACAAAAGGTGATCCGCGTATACTTTTGGCAATTGCAGACGTCTGATCCAAGAAAGCCTGCCGACTCCTACCTCTTTAGGGTCTGATGGCTCTAGGTCTCTTTTTCCCTTGGCCTCCTGCTCTTTCTCTCTACTCCCTTCTGTTTGTAACTCTTAGATATGCCCTTCATTGACAGGAGAGAGAAAGAACAAATTTGAATCTTGGTGTCTAGAAAGAGTCATCTTAAGCTCCGGTGAAGGATACAGTAGGAAAAGAAAACAAACTGGTTATTAAAATAGATTTTTCAGAGTTTTTGATGTGTTATCTGCACTTGCTTTGCTCCACCCACCTCCTCTCCTTGATTCAGATAAGGGCCACTGAAGGATTTCTCTGACACGCGTCACATGCGTCTTTCTCCTTGGCACTGGCTAAGTCCAGAGGATCTCATCTACGCCCTTGTCCACTTTCTTTCTCAGCTCCAGGCTTGTACTTCTCACAAAGGCCTTATTGATGTCATATCTGAGTGTGAAGCCAAGACACACGTAGGTGGGCACGCACACTTGCACCTGGCCTATGTCATGTGTCTGCTGGAACAGTGGCCTGCATTCTAAATATAGGGAGCTAGAGATACAACAGGATTTGTCTTTCTCTGCTTAATTCTTTCTTTTTCCTGCTTAATTCTAATATGTAATGTAATGGAAGAGTAAGAAAGTGCAGTGTGTCTGCATTGTTGCCTCCATGCCTGACATCTCAGCAAAAAACTGCTAAAAGACCTAAGTAGTTTACAAACATCACTGTCCAGTATTTTACAAAGGCGAACGTCATTGTCACCTGTTTCTTTCGCCAAGGCTGTTCCGATGAACCCAGACATGTACACCAGTTTGGACTCTCAGACTTAGATTTTAAAAGGCACATTTTTTTAATATGAGACTGCTAACAGATGTTTGCATTTCTTGGCCAAAATCAATTTATAGGCTATTTGTAACTAATAAGGTCTTATATCAAATGATTGTCTGGTCACAGAGTAGTCATCTTTATTTGAGATTATGTAGGGAACCCAGAGCACAGGTACGCAGGTTTCTTGCCACTTGCTGCATACTCCAAAACCAGCATGCTTTTTGCAAAGAGACCAGAGCCACATTCTGCAGGTATCTGTTTTCTTTCAGGGCGCCATTGTGAGGAAATCTAAAAGGGAGGAACTTGCATTTAGAAAAAAATATATTTTTACAATAGAAATTGCTTTTTCTCTTTCTTGGTTTAGGTTTTTCATCTGTTACAAGCCTTCTCAGACTCCAGATACAGAATGAATGCATACTTTCAGCAGGAGCTGGCTGACGTTGCTGTTTGTACCAAAGCCAAACTCTGGCTGGCCAAGAGGTATGTTAAAATCCCTCATGAGCAAGGAGTTATCAGGGGTTAGGAATACATTGGAGAATTGCTGTTTCTAGTTGTGGGAGTTTTAAACGTCATTGGCATGAGTTTTCTAAACTTATTGGAGTATTTATCTTTTTAGAACTTTGGGTTGTGGTAAAGAAAGAAAAATATTTTCTTGACAATTATTCTAAAGCTGCTGTGTGGCTGGGGGGCATCTAATATGGCTCTTTACCTGTCAACCCATCAGCTTATTTTTATTAATACCTGCTATGTGCCCAACCCTGTGTTAGATGTTATAACAGTGAAAGGCAATAATTGATGAAATCGTGTGGTACAAACTCTCAGGTGCCATGGCAACTCAGAGATTACAGATCGGTATAAGACTTGAACAGGAACTGAAGGACAGATGGGGTGTGAATAAGAAGACATGGACGTTGCCATTTTAAGAAGAGTAGCTTGAACAAGCAAGGCAAAGAAGGGTGAATACATTTTTTTTTTCCATCCTTGCCATTGTTAGTTATTTTAGAGCTTAGGACATTTTCTGTGTGAAAGATGGAGTAAAAGAACTCCTCATTTACTACATAGGAAATCCTCTCTGTAACCCTGTTCAAAATCCATGTCACCGGACTCTGACATTGGTCAGACACTGTTACTGCAAGGACCCCGGTATGTCCTCTGTGAGTTCCAGCAGAGTAGGTCTCCTGGAGGACCCCATGCTCCCACATTCCATGCTGGAACAGGTTGTGTTTGATTAAGAATCAGTATGTTGGTTGTCTAACGTAGCAGCCTCTTTTTTATTTTTTAAAAATATATGCCTTTGTTCGCTTTTGTTGGGCTTCCCACCTTATATGGCAAGGCCTGCAACTCGGTGTAGTTCAACAATGTATTATTGAGCACAGGCTACACACCAGCCTTTGTGTTAGGAGAGACAGGGATGCAGATATAGAAGAACTAGTCCTAGTTTCAAGGAGCTCACATCCAGGAGATGAGAAAGGTGTGTAAATAAATACTTTTTCATCCAATATGCTCAGTGTGATAATAAATGTATGTAGCAAGGACAGAAGTAGCCCAGAGGAGGAGCAAGGGGGACCCAACATTGCATACTTCAAGAGGTGAGAAGAATTTTGCTAAGTGGCCAGGGCAGGGAGGAACATTCCAGGCTCAGGTAACATCATAGGCAAAGGCATGGCAGTATGAAAGCGCATGGTGAGCGTGGAGAACTATAAAGAGCTCTTCTGCTATGAGTATAAAGTACATGTGACAGAAAATGAAGCTGAAGAAATACTTAGGCCACATTGTGAAAAAAAATCATGAAGGAAACCTTTAGGTGAGAGGGAACCAGTGAAGGATTTCTCAGTGTGTGGATATGTGAGGCTTCAGTTTTTCTAAGCACCTATAGCTTTGGACAGGGATATTGATGGGGAATTCTTTAGTGTCTGAAATGCCAATAAAGGGAGTGATGGTTTTTAGTCCAGTTTTTGTTCTCTTTCCTTTATTTAAAGAGTAGGAGTCAATTGACCATAAACCGCTTCCATAAGCCTAGTATCGTTTGCCTTCTGTGTGGCTTTTAGACAACCTCCCTCGGATGCTTTTTTTCAGAACAGGGAGCTGTGATCACATTTGTGCTCTTACGTGTTTACCAATTCGTGGGCCAGATCCTTCAGCTATTATTTCTGGGTTATCAGCAAGTCAGGGCTCTCCAGAAACCATGCTACTGAAACCCCTGCTTCGAGCCTGGACTGGCCCAAGAGAGAATACTCAATCTCCTGTTCTTAAAGTTCTATAAGGAAGAAGTTTCTGCCCCCTTAACTTGCTACCCTTTCATGGGTTTTACAGAAATTCATCATCCACTTGCTTCACGAGCCTGTTCCATCTGTTTGGATAGGAAGGAGGAGACAGAGTAACAGGCCAGCCATCTGAACAGACCTTCATGTTGTGCAATGCCTGACGATGGATCACAAAGCTGCCATAAGCCTCCTCTTGAGCTGGAGACGTCCTCCTGGCCTCTTTTAACCTTCCCTGTGGTTCCTGTTGCAATTTTCTAATCAGGCTTTTCATCATCATCACCCCCACCCACTTCTCTGATTTTTCTCCATGATTTTCCAGCCCTAGAAAACAAAGGCATGAATCACTTCAATTCACTGGGTTTCCACCTTGCTTTCTGAGAGTCCAGGAAAGCCACTTTTTATATTTCCAGTACAGTCAACACTTTATTATCCAAGTGTGAACTTTACACTTTGTGGGTGGTCTGTAGATGGTTCCTAACACTGGGCTTCCTCTTATTGCCCAACACACTTTACCATATTAATCAGGATGTGTTTAGAGCCTAAAATAAAGTTTGGGAGGAAAACGTATTGCCAGAACACAATGCATTCCAAAGCCATGGATCCGTTTTCCTGTATTATTCACATCGTTGACACAACAACCTTGAGGTTCCTGAATAAGAAAGTATAAACTGGATATAAGTGATGTAGCTTTGATCTGTCACATGCTTGCCCTGTCCCTGCGGTCCTCTGAGAGGGCTGCTACAGGAGGTGTTCGCCTGCACTAACAGCTCCTTGCTCACGTGAGCCCATTCTGGGTCCAGGTGGGCTCTTCTCAAAGCCAACCCCTGTCTTCACATTCTCACCTGCCTTTCCCATGAAAGACGTTACAATGCACAGTGTTCCAAATTCCACTGCTAAAGAGGCTCCTTTATGTCCCTAACAATTTACACATGAAAGAGGAATAAATGTTCCTTTGTGCTTACTAAGGACTCTCTGTATCTTTTGAGTATAAGCTATGAAACATTAATGTTACTGCAAAAAAAAAAAAAAAAAAAAAGAGGTTGGTTTAAATTTTAGCACCAACACCTTTTTTCCTCTACAGTTTATTTGATCATTAGCCTGAGTTCATTCAGTCCAATAAGTACAAAAACATTAGTGAGGGTGTCATTTATTTGTCCTTTTATTCCCAAAGAAGGTGTTTTTCTTTTTTTTTTTAAGTTCATTGGATCTATTGGATAACCAATTCAGTTTTTAAAATTCTGACCCTGAAATTAGGGCACATAAAATACTTTTGTCATATATTTGTGTTTTGACTTTGCAAGATTAATAGGGATTTATATGAGGTGATTAAGCAATAGCCATGGAGTTATTGGGGAATTTTTGGTGATGAATGGCCAGCTGGCAACATGGCCTGAGTAGAGGACTGGGCTTCTGCTCTTACAGGCCGCTTTTCATTCCAAGATGTCAAAGCCTTTATAGAAATCAGCTCATTAATCCTTCAGGCCCCTTCCTTCCCCTTTTTCCTCCATTCCTCCCTCCTCCATCCAGTTTACTGTCTCTCTCATGGTGCAAAGGCAGTTTACCAACTATTGAAGGAAAACTGAGCTGCCCAGGCCAGACACTGAGGGAGAATAGGGGTCGGCTGCCGTCCTGGACAAGCCGGCTGTGGGCGCCGCGGAGAAGCCATGGGCGCAGTCCCCGGTCGGCCGCTGTCTGCCGTGCTGCTGTCCCAGCTGGGCCGTAGGCTCTGCCTGAATGGGAAGGGCTTTTTAAAAACCCTGTCAAGTAGGACTAAGAGGAGAAAAGATTTTTTTACTTTGAGAAAATTACTGTTATATTGGGCTTAAAATTTTTTGTTTGTTTTTTTTAAATATGGTTATTGATTATGCTATTACAGTTGTCCCAATTTTTCCCCTTTTGCTCCCCTCTGCCAGGTACCCCCATTCCCTCCAGCTATCCCCTCCCTTATTTCATGTCCATGGGTCATGCATATAAGTTTTTTGGCTTCTCCATTTCCTATTCTATTCTTAACCTCCCCCTGTCTGTTTTGTACCTACCAATTTGTACTTCTCAATCTCTGAACCTTTTCCCTCATTCTCCTCTTCCTCCTCCCAGCTGATAACCCTCCAAATGATCTCCATATCTATGATTCTCTTCCTCTTCTGGTTGTTTGCTTAGTTTGATTTTTAGATTCAGTTGTTGATAGTTGTGCATTTGTTGCCATTTTAATGTTCATAGTTATGATCTTTTCCTTAAATAAGTCTCTTCAACATTTCCCGTAATAATGGCTTGGTGATGATGAACTCCTTTAGCTTTACCTTGTCTGGGGAGCACTCTATCTGCCCTCCTATTCTAAATATAGCTTTGCTGGATAGAGTAATCTAGGTTGTAGGTTCCTGCTTTTCATCACTTTTGAATACTTCTTGCCAGTCCCTTCTAGCCTATAAAGTGTCTTTTGAGAAATCAGCTGACAGTCTTATGGAAACTCCTTTATAGGTAACTCTGCTTTTCTCTTGCTGCTTTTAAGATTCTCTCTTAATCTTTAACCTTTGGCATTTTAATTATATTGTGTCTAAGTGTGGTCCTCTTTGGGTGCAATTTGTTTGGGACTCTTTGTGCTTCCTAGACTTGTAGGTCTATTTCCTTAGCCAAATTAGAAAAGTTTTCTTTCATTATTTTTTCAAATAAGTTTTCAATTTCTCGCTCTTCCTCTTGTCCTCCTGGCATCCCTATGATTCAGATGTTGGTATGTTTGGAGATGTCCCAGAGGCTACTTATTTTATTCTCTTTTTTTTTAAATTCTTCTTTCCTCTTGCTGTTCTGATTGAATGCTTTTCTCTTCCCTATGTTCCAAATCATTGATTTGAATCTCGGCTTCATCCCCTCCACTATTGGTTCCCTGTGGGTTTTTCTTTATTTCACTTAATGCAACTTTCATTTCTGCCTGGGTCTTGATTTATCTTGTTCCAGTATCCAATGATTTATTTGAGCATCCTGATCACCGGTTTTTTGAACTCTGAATCTGATAGGTTGGTTATCTTCATTTCACTTAGTTCTTTTCTTGGAGTTTTGTTCTGTTCTTTCATCTGGGCCACATTTCTTTGTCTCCTCAATTTGGCAGCCTCCCTGTGTTTGTTTCTCTGTATTAGGTAGAGCTGCTTTGACTCCCTCTCTTAGTAGCATGGCCTGTTGTAGCAAAGGCACCTGTACATTGTGTGGGGCAGAGCTTTAGGGAAT